CATAATATTTCCAGATAAGATATGAACATTTTAAGTCTTTATAAAATAACTCTTGAAACGTATTATGAAATTGATGTGTGGTTTGGATGAAGTCTATAAAAGTACCTATTTCATTACAACTACAGCAATCCTAGGTACTGGCATTTAAACAATCATTTGTCATATTTTCTTATATATATTTTTTTCAGAGACAGAGTCTCACTCTGTCACCCAAACTGTAGTGCAGTGGCAATCATAGCTCACTGCAGCCTTGACCTCCTGGGCTCAAGAGATCCTCCCACCTCACCTACCAAATAGCTCAGACCACAGATGCACGCCACCACACCCAGCTAATTTTTTGTGTGTGTTTTCTAGAGATGGGGGCCTCCCTGTGTTTCCCAGGCTGGTCTTGAAATCCTGGGCTCAAGCGATCCACCCGCCTTGGCTTCCCAAAATGTTATGATTACAGGTGTGAGCCACCTGCATTCAGCCTTTGTTAATATCGATGGGACTCAAATCGATACATTTACAGTAGAAATTCTCTTAACCAATTTCCACTTAACCTGTTATTGGATTAACCTGACTCACCATTTCCTCAGTAAAGAACTGTTGCCCTGGCAGGCTGAGTAACTATAACCAGTTGGCCACTCTGTGCATTTCTACTTCCTCAGAAGAGTTACTTGTCAAGTCAATCGTGTCTATTACCAACATGCTCAATCCAATCATCCTTGTAATTTTGAATATATAATTTAGTGAAATATTATATAAAGCAATAGAATATGAGTTCATGTAAAAAGAAAATGAGTTTATGTAAAATATGAGGTTTTAAAAAAATAAAATTAGGTAAAATAAGAGCACTCAAAGGAAAATAGCTAAAATAAGCTCCTGAATTAGAGGCAGGAAAAAAGCATCTGTAAATAAGGAGGAAAGTATAAAATGAGGAATTCTGTGCTCAGATTTCTTTATAAATGCTGTAAGTTCACACTCTAAGGAAGTCTGAATGGGAAATCTTAGACTAGCGGTTCTCAACAGAGCAGTACTGACCCCTAGGGGTTACTTTAGAGATTTGAGGGGCATTTTTGTTTGGGCATTTCTGGTAGTTATTCAGTGGATGGTGAGCAGGGATGTTAGACATGTGAAATGACCTGTATAACTTTGGAAAGTCCCACTGAGTATTCAAATAGGTAAAAAGCCTACTTTTCCCTTCAAGGAGGTGGAGCATAACTCCTCAGCCAGTGTGGGCTTCACACAATGAGTTTCTTCCTCATCACTACCCTGGATGCTTAAGGTTAACCTAGTAAGATCAGTGACATGTCATGTTGATAGTATGTCCCCTTGATGTGTGAGCACTTTGTCTTTGTGGTATTCCTCTAAAAAGCAATAACCCCAGTTTTATCATGACAAAAAAAAATTCAGAAAATCCCAGTTGAAAAACTGGGAGAATTTTGGAAAATACCTAGTTAGTACTCCTCAAAGCACTCAAAGTCATCAAAAACAAGGGAAGTTCTGAGAAACTCACAGTCTAGAGGAATCTAAGGATACATGGTGACTAAGTGGAATGTGGTCTCCTGGATGGCATCCTGCAAGGAAAAAGCAGGTAAAAATGAAGGAAATCTGAACAAATATGGACTTTAGTTAATAACATCAATATAGGTTCATTAATTGTGACAAATGTCCCATATTAATGTTAACATTTTAAAAATAGGGGAAACTAGGTATGAGGTATATGTGAATTCTGCACTATCTTTGCACCATTTCTGTAAATCTAGAACTATTCTAAAATTTAAAAAAATTGAAGCCTGCTTTTTATTATCTAAACATAGAACTTTATTTGCATTTATAATTTTAATATTTGCTAGGGACAAAACTATTCTATAAACAAAAAAGTTATTCTTTTATTCAAAACTTTAGCAAGAATTGATCAACATTTTGGAGAATGTTTCCAATGGTAGCAAATCAATCATGTTTTTGAATTATCAGTAAAACACACCTGTTATGAATATGTATTTAAAGTTTCAGAATTATAACTCTTCACGAATCATAAACCAGTCTTTATTTAAAATATTGAAGTGTCAACATTACTCTTTGAAATTTTTCTTCTTCCATACATAAGTGCAAGCACCTGACTACTCCATTGTCTCCTAGTGAGTCTGTGAGCACTGAAATACTAAAATGCACAATTTTATTACCACCTGATTATATTTCTCCTTCATATTACCATAAAGGTATTGACTGAGCTTTCTTGATATGGTGTCAATAAGTAGGTTATATCATGTGAATGCCACTTCAGGATAGTGGGTGTGATAGATATTATGTTACAATGTTATTATAAACAGGGTGAGCTAAATCTAATATGATTGAGAACCACAATCTTGGACCTCAGCTCTGAGGGCAAGGAATGTTTCATTTCTTACAGCAGTCTGCACCCAATATCTCATTCTCAATATCTAATTTGACTCTGGGTGCAGTTTCTGTTTACATCCACCCAGAAGCACCTATTTGCTCCTCCATTCTGGCAGTCTCAATTCTGATTCACTGTCCACCACCATGCAGCCAACTTGGGTAAATATGATCCATCTAAGTCAGAGTCTTCCCACCCCCTTTGCCAGTGATTAGACAAGCAAGTGACCCAGTACAGGTTGAGATATGAGGGGAATTTTGCTGAGGAGCTCAGAGTAAGTTTTCTCACTCATTAAAGGCACATGAGGAATAAAAGATTATTTTCTTTCACTGGACATTTTTGTTAGTTCATTCTCACGCTGCTATAAAGACATACCTGTGACTGGGTAATTTATAAAGGAAAGAGGTTTAATTGACTCACAGTTCTGCAGGCTGGAAAAGTTTCAGGAAACCTACAATCATGGAAGGGGAAGCAAACACGTCGTTCTTCACAGGGTGGCAGGAAGGAGAAGGGGGAAGCCCCTTATCAAACCATCAGATCTCATGAGACTTACTGTCACGTGAATAGCACGGGGGAAACCACAACCATGATTCAATTACCTCCCACCGGGTCCTTCCAGCAACGTGGGGATCATGGGAACTACAATTCAAGATGAGATTTGGGTGGGAACACAGCCAAACTCTATTAACATTGTTGGTCTACACATGACACCTGGAATCATGGTAAGCATCTTTGATCGTATTATTGGTCCAGCAAGAAGAATGCTAAAAATGACAGGATGGGAAAGATGGAAAGAATCTGGGGTTCTTATTATCTCTGAACCTTCTACTACACCATTTTATTTATTTTTTGAGACAGAGTTTTGCTCTTGTTGTCCAGGCTGGAGTGCAATGGCGCGATCTTGGCTCACCTCCTGGGTTCAAGTGATTCTCCTGCCTCAGTCTCACAAGTAGCTGGGATTGCAAATGCCCACCACCATGCCTGGCTAATTTTGCATTTTTAGTAGAGGTGGGGTTTCATCATGTTGGTCAGGCTGGTCTCAAACTCCTGACCTTAAGTGATCCACCTGCCTCAGCCTCCCAAAGTGCTGGGATTACAGGAATGAGCCACTGTGCCTGGCTGACCAACCCATTTTAGAATCTCCTAAGTGCCTGCTACATCAGAAAGCTGGCTTTTTTTCTTATTGCCAATAGCAAGCACCCTTACTGATATAACACTCTTCATAAGCAGTTGTATGGCTGAGGATTATTTATATGTGTGTACTATGGACTGACTGTGTCCTGTGACTCCCTCCCATACCTATGTTTAAGGCTAATCCTCAATGTGATGGTGGTTGGAGGTGAGGGCTTTGGAAGGTTATGTCATGAGGGTAGAACCCTCATGAATGGAATTAGTGCCTCTTTAAGAGATGATTTCTCTTGCATGTGTGAGAACACAGTGAAAAGGTGCCTGTCTACAAATCAGGAAGTGGGTCCTCACCAGACACTGGATCTGCTGGTGCGTTGATCTTGGACTTCCCAGCCTCCAGAACTGTGAGTCATAGATGTTTGTTTATACCACCCAGTCTACGGCATTTTTGTTACAATTGCCTTAACTAAGACACACTCCATGCAATCCTGGTCAAAATACTGTGTAGGAAAGCCACAAGTGATTCCCTTTTAGCCATCTGCTCTTCATTCAAATCACCTGTACTGTAACAGTTCTAGCCTTAGTATGTAGGGCTCATGGGAGATGTTTTACATTGACCGTGATCATGGAAAATAAGAAAACTTACTTCTTGTGACCCACTCTGTACTTTCATACAACTTCTCAGGTAAGTGAATTTGGAAGTGAATTTTCTTTTCACTAACAAGGTGTAGTGTTATCTTATACAGTTGTCCTTTGGTATATGTGGAGGGTTGGTTCCAGGACTGCCCATGGATACCAAAATTTGTGCATACTTAAGTCCCACTGTGGGCATGTGAAAAGTCAGAGCTCTGTGTACTGTATTTTCAACCCATATTTGCATGACAAAAAATCCTTGTATATAAATAAACCAGTGGAGTTCAAACCCATGTTGTTCAAGGGCCAACTGCACATTAAAAAAAATGCATATAGGAATGAATTTAAAGAATGAGAAAGGGCTATCTTTTGACAAGTTTTACTAAGCAAAGGAGAAGGCTTCTTTCCCTGGAAATACAGCTTAAGTTACTGAATTTGTGAATGTATTAGCCCTCCTATTTGTCAGTTCTAGTATTCGACATGTGAAACTGGTCTTCGTAAGTTCCTTACTTGCCTTTTGAATTTGGCCTTTCTTCTGTCTGTACTTTCAATCCTCTATTCCTTATTCACTTTCTTCTTCCCACCCTTCCTTATCCAGACGCTACAGCTTACTTCTTGTACTTCATTTTAATAAAGTACATTATCTTGTTTATAGTTTTAATTTTTAAAAATTCTTATTGTGTCACCCAAATGCATACTTTTCATAAAGTATGTAGGGCTTTACAGGCTGTACAGAATCACATTTGTTCTCTGCTCAGAATGAGCCTACAGGCTTTTTCAACTCCTTTCAGTACTCCCTAAGGGCAGCTCTCTTTCTTTTTTAAAGAAAGAACATGATGGACAAAGGTTTACAAATTAGTCTTATTTGAAGTTTCATTTTATTTCAGTCTATAAGTATTGCTATTTGTTTAAAGCACTCCCAATAATCCATTTCACCCAAAAAGGACATGTAAAGTGCTTCCAGCAGTACAAGCACGGGTGGCACGACCTTTCCAAAGGTTTTCCACTAGAGTCTAGAGAAAATCTAAACATAGTCAACCACACACTGGATGTTTCCATTTTCTGTGCCATTAGAGAGTTTCAAAACTCACTTTGACTTTTAAAAAACCCATCAAATGTCAATCATGGCAGGGAAGACCACTGAGCTGATTTCTGATAACTAAGTTCTTACTGAACATAATTTATCAAATATGGCTACTGGCATCATGAAGACCTTGGGGTAGGAAGCCTCTTTATGAGAAATATAAACATCACTTATGTAAGAATCAGCGGGTGTCCCTAGAACAGTTTTGTACTAAAGAGTTGTAGTGTTTATTCCCTCACCATGGTACTCAGGCCCAAGAGCCAAGAGCACAAGGGGTCAAACTCACTGAACGTTTTTACAACAAGAAACCAGTGAAGGAGGTCTTGTGAGGTACTACAACTTTCAGGCACGGTCTAAATACTAAAACTGATGATGAAATCTTGAGGAGTTAAGCCGATTTATGCTATCTTAAATTATCCATGAACATTATTTCGCATGTCTAGCCTGCTTTCTTCCTCACATGATAGCTGCGGGGAGTAAATGAGATAAAGCTGCAGCCTAGCCCAGTGTCTGGGCACCGTATCATTTCCTTCCTCCTCCCCTTTCCCAAATAAATGAGGTCAGTCCTTGAACTTTAAATGTACTTTATAAATAAGAAGAAATTACTTTTTCTATCAGTATACTTGTCAGCATGATTCTGAATTGCTCTCAAGAGTACCTTCTCTTTTGTAAAATAAACACTTTGTACTTTACTGAAAGAACACTTTCAGTATTCTTTACTTTCCATAGTGAAAAAAGTTGTTTCTGAGGAATTGAAACCCCAGAAGATAACCACAACAAAAACATGTTAAATGTTTTTTTTTGAAAATGATAATTCAAAGGCAGACTTGAAGAGAAGTAATATTTAGGAGGCAGAAGAAGATAAATGTAGGCTCTGAAGGGAACTGTTCTAATTATTACCTAAAAAGTAAAGTCATACAACTATATCCAAGGACATAAGATAAAGCACTACTTGAAAACCAGAATGACTGAACAGTTAGGTGAAAAGAGCAGCTGAAATAGGAAGGGGAAATGGACTGAAGAATAATTTGAATTGGGACAGTGATCCATCAGTCCTAGATGCTTCTGCCTTCTGGTATGTAAATATCTTGAATCAAATGGTTTCATTTTTTCTGAAATCTCAAAGAAGAATTCTCACAGCACTAAATTATAGTTGCCATTTTGTTAGGATTCAAAATTTCAATCCAGTAGCCATCAGGATCTTGAATAAATGCCAGGCCTTTCATTTTACCTGTAAAATGAAATATTTTGTTATTGAAAAGACCAAAAAAGAAAACACCTTAAAAATGTTTTTCTTTCGAGACAGAGTCTTGCTCTGAATGTCAGGCTGGAGTGCATGGGACGATCACGGCCTAAGGCAGGCTTGACCTCTGGGCTCAAGTGATCCTCCTCCCTCAGCCTGCCAAGTAGTTGGGGCCACAGGCATGCACCAACAGGCCTGGCCAATCTTTTGATTCTGTAGAGGCAGGATCTCAATGTACTGCCCAGGCTGGTATCGAACTCCTGTCCTTAAGCAATCCTCCCGCCTTGCCTCCCGAAGTGCTGGGATAACAAGTACAAACCACTGTACCTGGCCTTAAAAACTTTTATTAATTAAAACTGTATTTTGCATTTTAATGAAGTGTATTACTTTGTTTAGCGTTTTAATTTTTTTAATTCTTATTGTCAGTGTCACCTAAATGCATACTTTTCATAATGACTAAAATGTTATCTTGCACACATTGTGAATACCAGCCCTCCTGAAATAAACTGTGGGATCTTTCAGGCGTCAGGCATTTGCCTCACCTGCATGATAACATGCTACTAGTTCAGTAGTTATAGAAATTGTCTTATTTTAAAGAAGAAAAAGAAAATAGGGAGGTGCTGAAGGAAGCTGGTAACATGTCTTACCCCCAGGAACAAAAGACCTAGATGCTTGGGTCATACAAACCCTCTTAAACACTATCCTAGGCAAGTCAAGCTCTTTGAGAGTCTTTCTCCCACAAATTCTTAACTGGGATTGAGAGTCTAGTATGTCAGAGCTATCTGCTTGACAAACAAGCAAACAGCTTGCTTGGAAACAAACACATTGCTTGGAAAAAATGTGGCCTTAGAAATTTATTTAGGGACCAATATGTTGAATTGGTTTGACTTTTATCTCTGGCTCCTTTCCCCAACATCAATCCTAGAGGAACACAGATGGAAAATGCAAAAAAAAAAAAAACAAAAACAAAAAACTAAAAAAAGAAACCCTGCTGATGATGGTGGGGGAGAAGAATGGGTGAGGATGGGGTAGGGTGACAGTTTTAACTTGGGCTGTGTGTGAGGTGGTAGTTCTGGCCTGGACCAGAAGGCAGTGCATAATGGCTGTGGGAGAATAAAGAGAGTTTTGCTCTTGCTCTTCCCTTATTGCCAAGTGTATCAGCACCTACCCTCTCGCTTGTTCAGTTGTTCTTAGCAGTAAACAAGGGCAGTGCAGGAGCCTTGTGCTTGTGAGAAACCGACAAAAATGGGTAGGGGCCGACTGATCTCCCCAGCCCTCTCTCCATACCCAGGGCTAAGGAATGACTCTATTGGAAGTGTCTCCTACTATTACTGCTTCCCTGTGGGACAAAGTGAGAAGATCCGATCTGAAAAGTTGTTTTGTGGAAGGTGAAATGTTTAAGTCTCATTTCTAGGTGCCTAGGGATTTCTGGCCTCGGCTTATCCAGCCCATCGTCCTGAGATCAAGTGGGTTGCTAAGGACAGGGATCTGGCCATTCTCCTATTCACACTGCTTGATGTGTTAGAATAACTAACAGCTGCAAGGGAAAAAAAGCTCAGAGGTCAACATAGAAAGAATTTGAGAAACATAACCATAAAAAAAACTCCAAGGCAATGGATTATAGATTCAAACAGAAGAAATATTAGAATAACGGACCAAGAACTATTTTTTTTTTTTCTGAAGACAAGGTCTTGCTCTGTCACTCATACTGGAATGAAGTACAGTGGTGTGATCACAGCTCATTGCAGCATCCAACTCCTGGGCTCAAGTGTTCTCCCACCTCGGCTGTGGAGTAGCTAGGCATGCAGACTACAGGCATGTGCCACCATGCTCCGATAATTTTAAAAAAAACCTTTTTGTAGAGACAAAGTCTTGCTGTTTCACCCAGGCTGGAATGCAATGGCACAATGACAGCTCACTGCAGCCTTCAACTGCTGGCCTCAAGTGATCCTCCCAATCTTCCTGCCTCAGCCTCCCAAAGTGCTGCAATTACAGGCCCAGCCCCAAGGACTATCTACACATGTAAAAGTAATGACCGGCCTGGTGTGGTGGTTCTCATCTGTAATCCTAACACTTTGGGAGGCTGAGGCAGAAGAATCACTTAAGTGCAGGAGTTTGAGACCAGCCTGAGATACATAATGGGACCCTGGTCTCTACAAAAAAAAAAAAAAAAAAAAAAAATTAGCCATACATAGTGGCATTTGCCTATAGTCCCAGCTAATCAGGAGGCTGATGTGGATTATTGCTTGAGCCCAGGAGTTTGAGGTTGCAGTGAGCTATGATCACACCACTGCACTCCAGCCTGGGCAACAGGGCAAGACTCCATCTCAAAAAAAAATAATAATAATAATAAGCAATATGAAATATTAACAATATGAAAAAAAGAACAAGAACATAATAAGGAAATTAAGCAAAAATTAGTGATCAAAATTATAACAGGTGTTTAAAAACAAAATAGATGAATTAAATATCAGAACAGACACATTTGGGAGAAAATTAGCTAACTGGTATTCCAGTTTGAGGAAATTTCCCAGAACACAGGCAAAGACAAAGAAATAATATAAAAAGCTTCTAGAACAAAACAGAAGAATATACAAAGGAATGGAGATTGACAGATTTTTCAACAGCAACATCATATGCAAAAAGAAAATGGAAGAGTATTTTTAAGATTGAAGGAAATTAAATGTAGGCTTTTCCTTAAAACTGTCCTTCACACATAAAGGCATTGTTCTCAGTTATACAGTCTCAAAAGTTTTGCCTTAAAAACCCTTTAAAAGGCCGTGCACCATGGCTCTTGCCTGGAATCCCAGCACATTGGGAGGTCGAGGTGGGCAGATCACCTGAGGTCAAACTTTAGAGACCAGCCTGACCAACATGGAGAAACCCCATCTCCACTAAAAATACAAAATTAGCCAGGCGTAATCCCAGGCATGGGATCCCATGCCTGTAATCCCAGCTACCCGGGAGGCTGAGGCAGGAGAATTGCTTGAACCCAGGAGGTGGAGGATGCAATGAGTCGAGATCACGCCATTGCACTCCAGCCTGGACAATAAGGGCAAAACTGTGTCTCAAAAACAAACAAACAAAACCCTTTAAAGACCATTTTGGTTGACGTATTTAGGGTGTAGGGGCTCACACCTATAATCCTAATGCTTTTGGAGGCCAAGGTGGGAGAATTGCTTGAGCTCAGGAGTTTGAGACAAGCCTGGGCAACATAGCAAGACCTTATCTCTACAAAAAAAATAAAACAATTAGCTGGGTGTGGTGGCATGTGCCTGTGGTCCTAGCTACTTAGGAGGAGGATTGCTTGAGCCTAGGAGTTCAAGGCTGCAGTGAGCTATGACAGTGCCACTGCAGCAACCCAGCCTGGATGTGAGTGAGATCCTGTCTCAAAGGAGATACTACAAGAGATATATGAAGAAAAGGTGATCAAACACCTTGATATATTTATTATTATCTTTAAAAAATAAAATTAATACTATCCCAGTCTAGGTAATAGTGACACAGTGAGGGTGGAGTAGAGCAAGTTCCTTTCTTTTTGGGGAGAAGATTTGGATATTAAATATTTTATTTTATTTTTTATTATTATTTTTTGAGACAGAGTCTTGCTCTGTCACCAGGTGCCAGGCTGGAATGCAGTGGTGTGATCTCGGCTCACTGCAACCTCCGCCTCCTGGGTTCAAGCAATTCTCCTGCGTCAGCCTCTCGAGTAGCTGGGACTACAGGTGCACATCACCACGCCCAGCTAATTTTTGTATTTTTTAGTAGAGATGGGGTTTCACCATGTTGGCCAGGTTGGTCTTGATCTCTTGACCTCGTGATCCGCCTGCCTGCATTGGCCTCCCAAAGTGCTGGGATTACAGGCGTGAGCCATTGCACTGGCCGGATATTAAATATTTTAATTAAAAAAAAGATTAAAATGAAACAGTGAAATATTTCAAATTTTTAGATTGAGACTCTGAAATATTTAATATTTCAATTTTAATTTGAAATATTTCAGATAGAGATCTAAGTAAAATAATTACAATACATGTAATCCCAGCAAAATTCATACATATGCTATTTCAAAAAACCTACCTAAAACATAAGGACATACAAAGGTTGTAAAAGATGAAAAAGAAATACCATGTAATTATAAACTAAAGAATGCTGGTGTCGTTACATTAATATCAGATAAAATGGACTTTAAGAAACTGATTTTTGGGTAGAAAGATATACACTGAAATAGTGAAAGCTGGTGGCCAATGAAAGAAAGTGGCAGGTTTGGGGAGTGGGAGAGCCCAGGGTTTTGATGGCTCTCCCAGTTCTGTGTCTAGTCCCTTGGATACTCGGATAGTTTTCCAATTATTTCTCTTTTTTTTTTTTTTTTTTTTTTTGAGACGAAGTCTCACTCTGTCCCCAGGCTGGAGTGCAGTGGCACGATCTTTGCTCACCGCAACCTCTGCCCCCAGGTTCAAATGATTCTCCTGCCTCAGCCTCCTGAGCTGGGACTACAGGTGCCCACCACCACACCCAGCTAATTTTTGTATTTTTAGGAGAGATGGAGTTTTACCATGTCGGCCAGAATGGCTCTCTGAGATCATGATCTGCCCATCTTGGCCTCCAAAAGTGCTGAGATTACAGGCGTGAGCCACTGTACCCAGCCTTTCTCTTTTTTAAAAATCTGGTTGAAGTGTAGACTTCTGTTACTTGTAGCCAAAAGGGTTTTACTACAACAGTGCCCTCTGTGGGTGCTTAGTAAATACTGACTAAAGACAGGCCTGAACACAGTAAGTAGTAGACTCACCATCATCAGGTTTCTTCACAAATTTGACTCCCAGTTCTTCAAACCTTTTGCAAGCACTGTGTACATCAGGAACAGCAATTCCAATGTGACCTTACATGATATCCCCCGAAAAAAGCAGAGAGAAGGAAGAAAGAATTACAACAGGGTGTCCAAGTATCACAAGTAGCTTCCAGAACAACAGACTTAGTCAGGTAGGTTCAAAATGTATAATACATTAAAAAACAAATAAAGGTCCAATGGGGTAGGTATAATAAGTTAATTAGTTGCCCTGAATTATAAATTATTTAAAATTAACCAGTATCAGCTCATACACAATCCAATTAGTTAAGAATAATCTACAACAGGCTGGGCGAGGTAGCTCATGCCTGTAATCCCAGCACTTTGGGAGGCAGAGGCGGGTAGGTCACAGGATCAAGAGATTGAGATCATCATGGCCAACATGGTGAAACCCTGTCTCTACTAAAAATACAAAAATTAGACGGGCATGGTGGCGCATGCCTGTAGTCCCATCTACTTGGGAGGCTGAGGCAGGAGAATCACTTGAACCTGGAAGGCAGAGGTTGCAGTGAGCCGAGATCACGCTACTGCACTCCAGCCTGGCGACAGAGCAAGATTCGCTCTCAAAAAAAGAAAAAAAGAGAGAATAATCAACACGAAAAAACAGTAATCATTTACTCATACTTAATAGGTTTGTGGTTGGCATTGACTGCAGCAGCCAGCTGAAGCCTGGAATACTGTCATTTTGATTGAGAGATAGGAGATAAGGCAGAAGTGTATGTGCTAGCACAAACTGCGATTAGTATAAACTATAGCTTTTTTTTTTTAAAGTCTACTGGAAATGAATTCTGAGACTTAAAAGTAAATCATCATGAGAGAGTAAATGTAATGTTTAGATTGAGACTCTGAAATTAACTCCTAAATAAGATTATTTGTGGAAAATAAAAATAATCATATTTCTAATAAATTGATCATACTTAATTAGGCCATTAATATTTTAGATTTATTAAAATCAAAATTATATACATAAGACAAAATCACACAAACCTACATATATCACATACAAACAGGCAAACTCACCAAATCCTCGAGGGTCTGAATTGCCATTGTGGTAACTCTGGGTCTCATCATCTTCAGTGCCCCAATTGCTACAAAAGGAAAGAAAACATAGCTATAATGTCCTATGGAATAGATATTCTGAAAAGAAAGTAACATCTTTGAAATCTTACCATGTTTATATGCTACTTTACATAATTAGCCTAACCCCTCCTACAAAAATATTAAGTTTTCAACTATAGAAGGGGCAAATGGGCAAAGTATGATTTTAATTACACTATGGAGTCAGTAAATACAGGTACTAGATAAGAACAATAATGAGACTAATAATGCTCATGTGTTGTGGTAAGTACTATATATTTCATTTAAACCCTTAAAACAGCTCCATGGCCTAGATGTGAATATCTCCATTTTATTGATGAAACTGCCACTTACTTGTTTAGAGCCACAGACTCATATCTAAGTCTGCCTGATTCCAAAGCTTTATTTTGAATCTAGGGACACACAAAATCACACACTCTGAAACAAATGCTCTTTTGGTAGTTGTTAAAGTGTGCAGATAAACAACGTAAAGAAGTTGCTTACATTTTTAAATGCTCAAGTTATAAAAATACCAAATTTGAATGTTAATTATTATAAAATGGTTTGAAGAGTTTTTAAAGGAATGTATGATACCACATTTCTGGATCAAAAATGTAGTAAAATAATAAAAGAACAAAATTTTGGATGCTGGAAGACTAATTACAGTACCTAAACATTAGTTAGTGACAATATGGCAAATATCTTACAATTTCAGGGTCTTATATTCCGTATCTAAAAGACAAATGGGCCAGGTGTGGTAGCTCATACCTATAATCTCAGCAGTCTGGGAGGCCAAGGTGGGCAGACCACTTGAAGCCAAGAGTATGAGACAAGCCTGGGCAACATAGTGAGACTTTGCCTCTATGCCTCTACCAAAAACAAACAAAAAAAGTAAGCTGAGTGTGGAGGCACACACGTGTAGTCCAAGCTGCTGAGGAGGCTGAGGCAGGAAGATTGCCTAGAAGTAAACAGGCTTCAGAGAGCCTGTCTCTAAGAAAAGAATCTCATTTACTCAAGAACAATATAAAGATCAAAAGATGCATAAAAACACTTCAATATATTATTACAAATGTGAGGTGATTAGGCAGACCTGGTTTGAATTATACTAGTAAGTAAACAAAATGAAAAAGATTTTTAAAAACTACCTTAAAAAATCGAGAATATATACAAATATAGAAACTCATACTCACTGTGTCAGCTCAAGTGTAGCTTTTCTGGATAATGCCCAGGCTATTTTTTCATCTTTATCTTTAGGGATGTCATTTTTATCCTCGTAAGCCAAGAAATAGAGTGAAAATTTCATAGAAGGAAAATCACATTTTTGGATTAGCCTGCAATGAAAAAAAATCCTGAATCATTAACAACAGGAAAGGCTTACTCATACTAAAATCAACATAACTTAATATTCAAGTTTTACTAAAAAGAAGAGCTATATATAGTGAGTCTATTTGAATGGGATAAGCAGGAGAAAAAAAATCAGTGAAAAAGTATCATTTAAAAAATACATCTGTAAATATTTGAAATAAAAAAACTAAAAACTTCAGTAATTCATAAGTTCTTTAAATATAATAAAATTTAGCTGAAATTACGGTACTTGTTTACATATAGAAACAGCTATCTCCAAAAGAGAATTTTGTTTATTTGTAGTGAAAAAATATAAAGGGCCTTGATATTTCATATACATACACACATACAAACACATTTATAAATATGCCATTCATAAACACATTTATTGAGTTCTTACTATGCCAAAACATCTAGGAAACGAAGTTAAGGATAGGTGGTAAGAAAGCAGGAAGAAGAACAGACTAATATCACAGAAGACGTGAATGTCAATGGTAAGGTGGCTAACGGTATCAGATACTACAGAAAGGTCAAACAGTATTAAGCCTGAGAAAAGGTCATGAGATATGGAAAGTTCCCGTGAGAGCAATGTCAGCAGCATGGGGAAGCATAAGCTGGCCTGTGTTGTACTGGGGAGAGAGAATGGCAGGTGAGCAGGTAAAACAGCAGCAAGCATGGTTGGTGACAGTGGGGAGATGGGCAAGGGAGCAGAGTGCAAGAAATATTCCAGAACAGAGAAGACTCAAGCTTCTCTGAGGGGAAAGAGATCGTAGAAAAGAAGAGACTGATATGAGAGAAAAAGTGAATGAATTATGAATCCTGAGGTTTTAAAAAAGATAACCAAAGTAATTAACTTTAAGTGACTTTAAATGGTGTAGGATTATTCTGCAAGGAGCCAGGTGGAATGAGAATGCATAAAATATGATTTTCTTCAGATTATTCAGAATTAAATGCTCAAAGATGACCTTGTTCATAATCAATAAGAGCAAAGGGCTGAAACATATAACAAATGGAAAGTTTCTAGAGTTCTGCTTCAAATCTTTTATTTCATGATCACTGCTATATAATATGCCTTGGCCCACTTAGATCCATGCATTGACTTATCACAAATAAGATTTACTCTAATATGTTTATAATAAAGTATGAAACACCTCAAATACTCCAATTATGAAAAACAATCTCTGCATCTAGTAAAGCAGACTACACAACCTTATGGACCAATCGGATGGGACTGAAGGAAATGGAAGTGTTGCAACTGGCTTTTCTCAGCTGTGCCTATCTTCCAGTTTACTGTCAACTTGTACCTTATTTGGGGACCTGAACACAAAGTCAGCATTAGAGCAGATCAGACGATGAATGAAAAAAAAATCACAAGAAACTGAACAGCAGTTAACTCTAAGAGAAGAACTTGGGGAGGGAAGCCATCACTTTTCATTGTGTATTTTCCTGAACTGGTCAAATTTTCTCAATACAGACATGTATCACTTCAATCTTTCTCTCAATGTGAAGGAAGTTATCTAGGCACTAAATTTGAAGATTATTTCATTATTCACATATCTATATGATCAAAAACAAACAAAATGCTCATATAACTAAGGGAAATGAATCAACAATATAACAACATTATTTCTCAATACACCTCAATAAAGCTGGAGAAAAAAAGGAAAACAAACAAATCAATATGCTTTAGGATTGCAAGATCAGTGGATATTAACTGTTCAGCAAAAGAAAACACAGCCTAGAAAAATAGAACAGATGGTCACTTTTTAAATAAACTCATTCGCTTTCTGAGTAATAAGTCCTTATTATCTATAACTTTTCTGAAGTAAACAAGAGGCTAAAAGTGGCCAGACCATCAAAAGGGGTCTAAACATGTTAAGGATTTAGCTGGGAGCTCTCAGAAGGGAGACTGGAGAAAATCCAAGTATTTGTGTCTTGTTTTGCCCTTTGAGGCTGGCTGGGATAGAGAAGAAAAATAAGGGAGAAGCCCTGCCTCATCAGGCCTAATCACAGACTCCTGGCCAAAGAACTTTTGTTACTTCTGAAACCAACTTTAAGAGGTGTCTGAAAACATTCTCTACATTTGCAAAGCTATATATTTAAATATTCAGGTGCCAATAAGTACTTACGTCATTCCAAGAACTCTAGTATAAAAATCCAGCGACTTCTTAGGATCCTTGACTCGTAGCATGGTCTGCTGCAATAGGAAATCCTAAGGAAAAATATTTAAGCGTCTTTAACTTTTACCATGTATTACCAACGTTAATTGTGCTTTCTGTAACAAGATACAAAAACAGTCCACCATTACAACCCAATTGTTAACCTACCACCTGCAACTTGCTAGGGCTCTCTGCCAAGTGGTATTTTCTGGTTGCAGGCCCCTGTGTGGGGCAAGTCCAAAGTGTCAGAAAGTTTCTACCCCAGGACACCTTCAACCAATGGTGGATAAAAATCCTGGCATCCTTGTCCCTTGGTGGGACAATTCGGAGGCAAGTACCACCAAGTCCCTCAGAGAATCCCCAGCAGGACTGAACCTCAGTTGCCCACAGTGGTAACCCACTTGTGTACACCTATTACCACCCTCTCCCCAACTCCACAGAGCTTTCTGTGACCACCTCTCAGAAAACTACTGAAAACCACAACTATCTCTCTAGTCTGCTTTGGGGCTACCCAAACTAAGACACTGATTTTACACATAAAGAGTTTGTTCACTGTAATATTTATAAATGCCCTTTCAGAACCATTTACTGGTAACCGTGCAAATTAGCAAAGAGTTATTCACAAGATCCTAGACTCCTAAATAACTAAAAGGGTAAAAAGTTACTGTTGCTAACACCTTTGGGAAACTGTTCAACTAACTTACCAGGAACCAGAGGGCTTGACTGAGAAAAGGGTAGAAAGTATGTAAATTCATGGGGTTAAGATTATCAATAGCATTAATAATCCTACTTAGGACTTAACTAGGTAGAATAACTCTGTGAGGTATTACTGTCGATAGATATTCGTACCCTGTTTTACAGATGAGAAGCTGACGCTGAGTGAGTAACTGTCCAAGGCCTCTAAGTTTTGGTCTCCCTTTGCTGTTGGTATGCACCTTCCAGACCATGAGTCTGTGAACCTCACTGGTGCTTCCTAACAGATTTTTCTGTTATACCCATGGCTTGACAAAACAGGCCTGAAAATTCTGACCACTTCGTTTGCATGGCATCTTTCTCCTATATACCTTATATCATATAAAATACAAAATATAATTCATTGAGCATCATTAGGAAATTACATTTTTCCCTTTTGCTAAATTTTAGATAACTGAAATATACTCTTAAGCATTAAAATTCTCACTTAAAACAACACTAGCCTAAAAACTACTTTATCTTCTTAAAACTGATCTTTTTTTTTTTCTTCTCTTTCTTTTTTTTTGTTTTTTGAGACCGAATTTCGCTCTTGTTACCCAGGCTGGAGTGCAATGGCGCGATCTCGGCTCACCGCAATCTCTGCCTCCTGGGTTCAGGCAATTCTCCTGCCTCAGCCTCTGAGTAGCTGGGATTACAGGCACGCACCACCATGCCCAGCTAATTTTTTGTATATTAATAGAGACGGGGTTTCACCATGTCAACCAGGATGGTCTTGATCTCTTGACCTCGTGATCCACCCGCCTCAGCCTCCTAAAGTGCTGGGATTACAGGCGTGAGCCACCACGCCCGGCTAAAACTGATCTTAATGAATATAATAATTAAATTCTTTATTCACGATTATCAGTCACATGCCAGGCAGGTTACATGTTTCTAGAACATTTGTGTTACTTTTCTCAGTCAGATGCTACAGTCCTAAAGGTCTCAGTTTTATCAAGCAGCTGAGAAAGAGAAAAGTAAGTGCACATCCAAGTGCTGGCCTGGTACTCCCAGCTGGGCCTTGGTTTTCTCCTGTTGAACATACATAAAGTCATTCTGTGGCTGCCATGAAGTGATACCAAAATTAAAAAAAAAAAAAAAATCTTAAAGCAGCAAGACCATGTCCACTTCACTTTCTGGTCTAAGCATATATTAAAACAAGGCACTGTGAACACTATAAAAATAACAAACATCCTTTTTTTCCCAGCTAATATGAGTGGTAGCTGCTTCTCTATTGGTTACAATGTTTGCTTGAGGAAGCCACCTGCAGGACAATGCCTTAAGTATGATCTTTCAGGCCTGATCACACACAATCACACAAACTTTAGCTGGCAAGCCTCATGGTGGGGAAGCTGTCCTCCCAGCACTGGTGCTCAGCCAGTACACTGCAGTTTCTGGAGGGAGGTCATCCATCTTGTCATCTTTACGACAACCCCATGAGATGCATATTATTATCATCCCCATTTTACTGCTGAGAAAGTAAGTGGCAGAGAAAAAATTCCGGCCCAAGCAATCTGATTCCAAAGTCTTTGCTTTTAACCACTAGTTTCCTCTAACAACAAAGAATCGTTAGATAGTGTGACACAGGCATAATAGATTATGAAAAACATTTAAAATGCTGCTTAGAGGTATATTAAATGGCATGGAGATATATACAGACGGTATATTAAATCTAATGGCATGGGAATTTACACAACAGTATACTGAACTTTAAAAAACAATATATATACACACACATGCATATGAAAATACCACTTAATATGCTATTGAGATTAATTATATCTTAAAATTAATGTTACAGCCTTTATTATTAAGAGAGCTATGTACTATATCTGCTTAAATACATACACATAAAATATTAACTTTAAAAAGTCTATACATGACAAAAAAGTAAGATATAGTTAGTGAATTTATCTATAAAATAGAGGCTTAGGAATCTTTTGCTACAATTTGTTATATGGATGATATAAAAACAAGTGGGGCTTATTTTTTATAAAATGATCAAGTTATTCTATGCTCAGATAACAGAGTTTTATTTTTTTCACCAAAAGATTCTGTTAACTCCCTGTATCTCTTGCATGATCTTGAGAAAAAGTTCCTGTTTTAAAAAATTCCTAAAAATTATTGCTGTGCATTATGATTCTAAAATGTTGTTTAAAATACATGTATCTCCTGTTTTAAAAAGTAAGACTTATGTTATGCTCGTGTCTTGTCTCACCTGACAATCCTTAACTTTATGTTTCCCTTATCATGCTCTAAATTTAGAACAATAAAAATAAGGCCAGGCGCGGTGGCTCACGCCTGTAATCCAGCACTTTGGGAGGCCGAGGCGGGTGGATCACGAGGTCAAGAGATCGAGACCATCCTGGTTAACATGGTGAAACCCCGTCTCTACTAAAAATACAAAAAATTAGATGGGCACGGTGGTGCGTATCTGTAATCCCAGCTACTCAGGAGGCTGAGGCAGGAGAATTGCCTGAACCCAGGAGGCGGAGGTTGCGGTGAGCCGAGATCGCGCCATTGCACTCCAGCCTGGGTAATGAGAGCGAAACTCTGTCTCAAAAAAAAAAAAAAAAAAAAAAAGAACAATAAAAATAAGACATCTTTTATGCCTAAACTATCTTTGGTTTTACTGGGATGGATACTAGATGACAAAGATTTACTCCTGTGTCTTATCAAAAGGTGGGACAATAGACATAATAAGGGATTTTTGGGGGGTGGAGTTGGGGAAGTGTCATTCTCCAAATTTAATTAACGAAAGGACTATGAGAAAACTTTAAAGGTACAATTGAGGATGTTTCTAGTGCCTGTCCTACATGCCTACAATACGATCCTTACAAAACTGTAAAAATGAAGCAGGGATGTGAACCTGAGGATTAAGGCCCCTTTAAGCACCAGTAAATGGATTTTTTTGGTATAAGGGATGAGAATAGGGTAGAGCTTCATTTTTAACCTAAGGATGTCCAATTGTGTCAGCACCATTTGTTGAGGTTACCCTTCCTCCAGTTAATTGCTTTTTCATCTTTGTCAAAAAGCTGTTGGGCATACTAGTGTGGGTGTATTTTGGGGTTCTCTGTTTCAATGTTCTATATATCTATCTCTCTGCCAATACCTCCGATTAGTGATTACTGTAGCTATGTAAGTCTTAAAATCAGGTAGACAAATTCTTCCCGTTTTATTCTTTCCCAAAATTGTTATTATTATTTTTTTTTTGCCTCTCAATCCTTAACCCTGTCTCTATCTAAAAAAAAAGTTTGATAAGGAGTGTGTTAAATATGTATATTGATTTGGGGAGAAACGACATCTTTACTATGCTGAGTCTTACAATCATGTACACAATAGATCTCTCCATTTACTTACATCTATGGCTTCTTGCATCACCATTGCTGCTTTCAGTAAACGTTTATTAGATTTACATCTAAGTATTTCTTTTTATTGGGCAATTGTAGATGGTACTGTATTCTTTAATTTTTGGTGACTGTGTGTTCTTTGCTATTATATAGAAATGTGACTGATGGCCGGGCTCGGTGGCTCAAGCTTGTAATCCCAGCACTTTGGGAGGCCGAGGCGGGTGGATCACGAGGTCAAGACATTGAGACCATCCTGGTCAACATGGTGAAACCCCATCTCTACTAAAAATACAAAAAAAATTAGCTGGGCATGGTGGCGCGTGCCTGTAATCCCAGCTACTAGGAGGCTGAGGCAGGAGAATTGCTTAAACCCAGGAGGCGGAGGTTGCGGTGAGCCGAGATTGCGCCATTGCACTCCAGCCTGGGTAACAAGAGTGAAATTCCGTCTCAAAAAAAAAAAAAAGAAATGTGATTGATTTCTGTGACTGTGTATTTTACAACCTGCAACCTTGCTGAACTCACTTATGAATTCTGGGAGCTTCCTATAAATTACTTATTATTCCCTATGTAGACAGTCATGTCATCTTCAAATAAGGACAGTTTGATTTATTCCTTTCCAACCTATATGTCTCTTATTTCCTTTTCTTGACTTACTGCACTGGCTAGAACTTTCAGCACTTTGTCAAATAAGAGTCATAACAGCAGACATCCTTGTCTTATTACCAAAATTAGGGAGAAAGCATCACCATTGAGTGTAATACTAGCTCTAACTTTTTAAGAGAAGCATTCATCAAGTTAAAGAAATGCCCTTCTATTCCTTTCTAAACTTAAAAAAATAATGAATGAGTCCTGAACTTTGTCAAGGCTTTTCTGTACCAACTGATACGATCATGTGATTCTTCTTTACCCTCTTAATAGAGTGGATTATACGGACTGATTTCTGTATTCTGAACCAGGTCAAGATGTAGAATTCT